GTTAAAATACATGTTTATCAAATAAATTCTAATGTTACAACTATTCAGGGATCCCTTTAAGAAAAGACACAATAAAAACGTCAAAGAAATCTTTTTTTTCCCCTCTGTAAGTGTTGTGTTTGACCAAAACAGCTAATTTTAGTGTCAAATTTGATGCTGACATTTTTTTTCTCATCTTGTCACAAAAATTGGCACACACGATAGGAGCGAGCCTCATGAAATATTCAAAGACTGGGTTTTGAGTCCAAATTTGCTTGTCAGATTCAGTCAGATTGTGCAGCCGAGTCGTGGAACAGAATTAGTTCAGAAACAGCTTCAAACTCGCTCGTGTCTGTTCAGCACAACTTTCTGAGGTTGTCCAAATATAATTGCATCACTTGGCACCTGGGGAATGCTGTAACGGGGGGAAAAAAGATGCTTTTCCCCTGCAGTGCTTGGGGCCACGCTTTCATTGCCATTGCCTTGGTAACCGAGCCCTTGCTTCAACCCTCATTAGTGCAAGTCATTTTTTTTTCTTGTTGCCACTCTAAATTTATGAAGCGCTTTCAAACAATATAAACAACTCCTGCAATGTTTGGAAGACTCACGGTTTGTTATGTCTAATAAATAGAAATGATAGAATAAAACCTTCCATAAAATGTAATATATATATATAAAATGACAGCAAAACAACTTTGTCTTCAATAAATGTGAGTTCAGCTGTAAGCTCTAAGCCGTCTTTGCTTGAGTATCTGGTGACGGTGATAAGATGCTCCCGAGCGGGACGAGTTGTTCGCCTCTAAATGCTATCAGCGTTGAATGATTTGCATCCACTTAATGTATTCAACAGACCCTGTCAAATCATAATCCCCCCCGCCTTTAGATACCCCATCACGTTTRATGCTTTAACTCTTATTTATGGATCGGAGGCAACGTTAAAAGAATGGTAAAAAAAAATTGACTCTTTTATTAAGGGTTTGATCCAGTTGACTGAAAAAAATGTGTTTTTAAACGACAAAATCTGCATTCTGTTGATGACACAGCAAGTTGGAGTGTAAGGAAAACTGTCCTTTTTTAAATTAAACATCCCCTAATTAAATTAAAGTCCTAACCCATCGCCTTTCATGCTCCGTGTTGGACTGAGATCGTCTTGTGCTTGTTGGATGATCACAAGATGTCACTTAGTGGTGCACGACTCTCAGCTACAACTACGTTTCAGCTCAATATCTGTAAAAGGTACCTGGTTATGTTGATAAGCTGTGGTGGCCACCTTTAAACCCAAAAGTTAATCGTTTGCAGAGGCACATCCAGTAATTACATTCTGATAGCTTCACTCAAATCTGTGCAGTAGTTCATGAAATATTTTGCTAACAGACTTCCTAGCTATGAGCAATCTGATTGCACTCAGAACGTGCGATGGAGATCAGACTCAGCTACTATCACAACAAAGTTGAGGTCAGTATCTGCAAAATAGGCTGAGTTCTGGTCATCTTTGTGTTTTTTAAGGAAAATTGACTGTGGTGGCCACCTCGAATTGGGCTGATTCCAAAGTTTAATCAGGTATAGATGAACTTCCGAGGGTTAATATCTGCAAGTTTCATTAAWATCCACTCAGCGGTTTGTGAAATATTTTGCTAACAGARATTGCCTTTAGGCYGTGTTAGCAATAAATATTTTTAAACCGATCATTTCGTGCCTCTATAGTGATAAAGATGATGGTTAAGTAAAAAAAAGAGAACAGTTGAAAGGCAGAAAGCCAAAGTAGCTCAAGGCTGGAATGTAATCTTTGAATGCCAGTGTCATCTTGTTATCAAGTCTGTGTGTCATTTGTTTTTTTTTTTTCTTTTTTCTTTCTTTTTCCCCAGCTAGTTAAAAGTCACCTCACATCAGTATTCTTCCTGCTGACATGTACACTCTGTGAATACAAACCAAATGTAAATCCCACCGCTCTTCCTAACCAGTGGGGTGAGGGTGGGGGGTGTTGAGAAAAATTTCATGCACTTTATGCAGAAATCAAACTCTTCCTCTTTCATCACCCCCCACAACTCCTCCTCTCCTGAGTGTGAAATTGCTAAAGCGTTTGGACGCTGCTGGCGTGGGTTTGTGGGAGTTTTCACGGTTTCCTCGCTGAACGCCTTCAGGAGGAGGCGCTCAGAGGAGGATTTGTGTAGGACAGAGGGGGACCGCGTGGAGGAGAAAACCCTCCTGATGACTGGAGCTCGGATGATTCTTGGGGGTAGCGATGTTCGATACCGATACAGAGTAAAATTTGCCTGGTGTCGGCGATATTGATACTGATCCGATACTGATACTTTGTGATAACAACACATAATGTTTCTGGCAAATCTTAAAAAGTAGTGCTTTCCAAAAAAAACGCTTTATAAATAAAACATGACAAAGTACTATATTTATTAACTTAAAAGTCTTTCTAACCCCACATTTGTTTAGCACAATTTTAAATTCTTATTCTAAAGAAATATAATTTTTGAAAAGTGAAGAAAAAAGTGAGAAAAATATTCTAAAAGTTGTTARTGTGTATATTTTGTAGCATTTGTTTGTGGGTTTGCAAGAAGGTCCTTGGCCAGAGCTAATGCTGTTTGGGGAGGCCATGGTGTYAAAAAATTTGGGAACCTCACATCTAGCATTTAATTACAGACTGTCAGACAAAGCAGATTTTATATTAAAATGACCTGCCATACATCTACAGACTGAGTGACTGACTGAACTCATGCCACTGTGCTTATGTTTTACTCAAGCGGAAGAAAAAGTAGTTCCCTCCAACCACGTATGATTCAGACAAGATTTGAATAGTTTAGTTATTTTCCACTATTTTCCTGTTAATGATTTACATTATTTGAAATAATTAAAGTGTCAAAGTATCTATATTTTGATTTTAGTATAGATTCTAGAACATAAAGCTCTGGTATCGGTAGTATCGATGTTTCAGTATCGATCTGCACATCACTACTTGGGGGACAAGAAGACGTGTCAAAGAAGTAGAGAAAAGCACAATGTCATGATTCTGTTTCTYACTTTCTCCCYTGTCTTCAGTTGTTGTTGTTTGATGTTCCCAGACCTTTGTTTTGTTTTTTTGTGTTTTTTTAAAGCCCACGTGCGATAATGTGTCCAGAATGACCTCTGCAGAAAATTTGGCCCAGTAACCGTAATGCGGCCCCAGCGGCGGCGTACGCCTGCACCGAGTGTCAGAGACAATGTCGGACCACACAGAGCAGAGCGGACAGGCAGTCTGCATGTGCCGCGGGCAAATATAGAGGGGATTGGAGAGGCATTTCTGCCAAGAGGATTAGGAACCAGCTGCTGGGTAGACACAGATGTGTAGCACTTTCTGGCTCTCAACACCGCAGCCATCTCCTCCTCCTCAGTGAAACCCTCATTTTCGTGCTCTCATTTTGTTATTTCCTTTCTGTTTGTGCGGTCCCTTCCTCTCACCCCTTTTTTACTTTGATATTTCCTTAATGCATGTCTGCGGTTGTCACAGGGATTTGGCTTTGTCTGTCACAGCATGCTTTACTATATTAATCCATTTTAGGGTATTTGGTATTCATCATTCTGTCCCTCTGTTTGCTCATGGCCTAAAAATGATGCAGAGCAGTGCAGGCCGAGGTGTCCATCTTGAAACGTGACACCCAGGAGATGAGAACGTTCTTGTTTTGGTTCTGTCATTGGTGGAAATTAAAAAAAAAATGAAATAAAACCTATTAATTCATAATTACCAGGACAAGAAGAGAAACCAGAATGGATGGAGGAGGCGGTCACAAATCTGGGAGGTACGGTTTGGAAATTAGACTTCCTGCATACATTTTATTTATCACATTTCACAATGATTCTGACACTTGATTTCTTTGGTCTTTTCCTCACAGCCCAATTTACAAACGAAGCCCAGACCTGACAAAATCTCCCGTGACCAAATCTGAGCAGCTCCTGAGAATAGACGACCACGATTTCACCATGAGGCCAGCGTTCGGAGGTTAGAAACGCCGTCGACATAACAGCTTGAAAAACGTAACGGATAAGATCCGAGCGGTGGTCTTTGGTTTGAACTAATCTGTCAGAGACCCTGGTGTCAGCGCCGATACAAGCTGAGCTGGAGTTCCCAGTTTCATCACGACTCACAACTTCTGCTTCTGTTTATATTAAAGGGATTTATCTTTATTTTTTCTTTGATGATAGCGCACAGGAAGTGGTGATTTAGCGTACGTCTTCTACCCGTTTACATCCTTTACCGTGTCATTATCCGAGACCAACGGTCACAAAAACAGGAGCTTTTCTTCAGCAGGAACAAATCAGCCGTGACCTCTTTGCAACATGTGCTGTTTTTAATCAGACCACTTTTAATCYCACAACAATCTGCTGCTAAAAACACTCGGAGCGACCCTTTTTTACGAACTCCTTTGGTCGGTGTCCGATTTCAACCATGAAGTGGAAAAAAGGAGAGCTGGGTTTTATCCAACGTTGCATCAGCTTTTTTTTATCCATTGTTATGACCTGATTGTATTTGTTGCAGTATGACGATGCAGAGCAGCAGGGGCTTAAATAGGTCAAAAGAAGAATGAAAGCCAGTCTGTCACAGTCGTGACACGAGCAAATGCTCTACATTTGCGTCACTTGTTGTTCTTTTTCTAAAAAGAAAGGAAACTTATTTAAAAAATAATACTAATAAAAGTTGTGTGTTTTTAATGGTCTGTTCAACCCTGATGGTCGACTAGAATACAGTGCGCGTGCGTAAAATAAAACTTTTAATTAAGAATGTTTGACATGAGGAAAATCTTTTCAGGTCCTCCGATACCTGTTGGAGTAGATGTTCAAGTTGAAAGTATCGACACCATCTCTGAGGTGGACATGGTGAGTATTAAAGAGCTTTGAGMGTCATTAAAAATTGAAAACTTGTAAATTGGTTGAACACTGGAGCTTCACAATCAGTGTGCAATATTCACTGTTTTAAACCTTGTTGAAACGATGGCTTCATCAAGGTTTTACATAGAGCTTTCTGATAAAGCTCATTTGTTTTAAGAGCTGTTCTTCCTTTGTGAATCGCTGTGGGGCCAACACATACAGTATTCAGGGTTTTCTTCACATGTGGTGAGTTTTAACCAGATAGAGACAAACTCACAGGTTTTACCTTTGCTGCTGGCTGAGCTTCATCTCAGCTCCTGTTGAAAGAGTTTTTAAAAGGTCAAATGTTTGCTCTCTAGAAGTAGTTTTTTCCTTCTGGTGTGGAAGTGTGCATTCTTTTAGATTTGAAACTTCTCAAATGTCACGACAAAACGCTTGATTAACACTTGCAATAAAAGATCCTATTTTGGAAGGAAATGCACATTTAAACAGGAAAGAAAGTGTAAAAATTTAATCAAAAGACATCTAGTTAATATCTCGAAGAAAAAAAACGCTTCCCCGATGAAGAACCCATCGTTTTTTTTTCGTCTCGCAGCATCGTTACAGATTAATTAGACATTTTGCAGCACATTAGTCTAATGAAGATCTATCTTTTCTGTAGGACTTCACCATGACGCTGTATTTACGTCACTACTGGAAGGACGAGCGGCTCTCGTTTCCCAGCACCACCAACCAGAGCATGACCTTCGACAGCCGCCTGGTGAAGAAAATCTGGGTCCCTGACATGTTCTTTGTCCACTCCAAGCGCTCGTTCATCCACGACACCACCACGGACAACGTCATGCTGAGAGTGTACCCTGACGGCAACGTCCTCTACAGCCTCCGGTGAACGCAGCGGCCTGTTGGGATCAGAAAGTCTTTAGAGAGAGAAACACCTGTCTGAAAGGCTCCCGATGGCTTTGTTTTTCTTTTGCAGGACGTCGGATACGACTCGAACATTTTAACGCCAGAATGTCTTTTGTTTTGCAGAGTCACAGTCACTGCRATGTGCAACATGGACCTCAGCCGCTTCCCCCTGGACACCCAAACCTGCTCACTGGAGATTGAGAGCTGTGAGTTAATTTGTCAAACAAAAACGTAACACCAAGCCTTTTTTTGTTTTTCCTTCTAGGGGTCTTAAAGATTATTTAAACTGTGGAGATTATTTCAGATTCACTGATGTTGGGGTTATCTTGAGAGGAACAGCTCGAGTTTCCTGATTCATCAAGTGCTGTATTTTAGGGGTCTGATATTTCACCTGAAAATTCTTTTTATCTTTTAATTTCTTAATTAGAAATTGCGAAAGACATATTCAAAGAAACTCCTTTTTGTTTCTGTAGAAATAAACATGTAAATTAGTAACATTGGGTACCATTAAACCATTATGATTAAAATGATTATAGGATCTGTGTCTCTCTATGATGATTATGGCTGTGTGGTGGTAAGAACGTCACAACACAGCGATCACAATATGATATATTGTGATATGCTGCGATACTGTAAGCAAAATTATATCAATATTGCCTTTTTTATCCAAAAGAATTTAAAAAATAAGTATAAAGAGCACACCACACACAAAGTGACTAAAATCTGAATAAATTCAGTTTATGTTTATGCCATCAGAAAACTGAACAACAGTGAGAACTGCATTTGTAATTCACATTTCTTCTTACAAGGCGGCACGGTGGCTCAGTTGGTAGAGCTGATGCCTCTCAGCAAGAAGGTCACCGGTTCAAATCCCGGTCCGGGGAC